GTTCAAAATACAAAGGGCACAGCAACTGCCTGTTCTAGCAACTCAAGGATATTATTTGGGTCAAGTTAAATGGCGTGCCACATTCTCAAAAGTGTACTGACGGCCCTGGGACAGACGACAGTCATGGATTATCTGACCAATCTGAGCCCCACCAGCCCGCAGTTTAATAGGTGGGAGATATCAACGTTCGGGCATGATGCCTTTGAAACCAGGGGCAGTGAATTCTGGCACCGGGGCGGGGGAGCTTGTCCAATGGGCCAGTGAACATGGGATGGACTTTGTGGGAGAGATAGGGATTCCGACTCATGCAGCAGGTCATGTGATTGATCTCACCTTCTCCAATGTAGCCTTTGCTTCCACTACAGTGCGTCAAGATCTACACTGCGGCTCAGATCACCAGTCTATGATCACTATGCTGCCAACAACACCTCAAACACAGCTGAGTGATGCTCGGATCAAGATCACAGACTCTCAGCTGGAGCCCTTTGCAGATCTTGTCAGAGGTCTCATGGTGGACATGCCTTGCCCAGAGGGGGTTGGAAATGTGGCACAGCTTGATGATCTGGCCCAGCACTTCACTCAGAGTCTTCTGGCTGCAGCTCAGGCAGTCAGTAAGCCAGCTCAACAAGGGCGGACCACAGCCCCCTGGTGGACAGCAGACTGCCGAAGAGCGCACCGAGAGCTCACCACTCACCAGACAGAGGCCGGGAAGCACCAGTTCAAGGATGCAGTGCGCAAGACCAAGCGTGCATACTGGAGGCAGGTGATCAATGAGCCAGAGATGGTAGAGACCTGTACCGGGTGGTGGCATGGCATAAGCTGGAACCCAACCTCAGAGCACCCCCTCTGGTGATTGAGGATCAGGTCATAGAAGAGACAGCCGCCAAAGCTGAGGCACTTCAACAAGCAATTCTGAAGCGATACAACTCAGCTGATGATCTGGAGTATGACCCACTGGATGATGAGCACTGGAGCGGCATGGGGAACCTGCCCTGGAACCCCCGGGTTGGGATGGAGGAGGTGGAGCGCAACACCATTGGGGTACAGAGCACCTCCCCAGGCACGGATGGAATCACAGTGCGGATGCTCAAAGCATGCTGGCAGCATGTGTCCCTCTTTATACAGCAGCTATACAACTGCTGCCTCCGGCTCTGCCACTTCCCACGAGCCTGGAAACTGGCAGAGGTGGCAATGATACCCAAGGTGGGTAAGAGGGATAGAAGCTCAGTCCGCTCCTGGAGGCCCATTGCCCTGCTTTCAGTAATCTCCAAAGGGCTGGAACGCATCATTGCAAGGCGACTGGCGTACACAGCACTCATTCACGGCATAGTCAGCCCACAGCATGGGGGGGCGCTGCCCAGACGATCTGCAATGGACCTGGTAGCTGCTTTCACTCATGAGGTGGAGGCAGCCTTCGCACAAAACAAGGAAGTGTCCATGGTCACAATGGATGTGCAGGGTGCCTTTGATGCTGTGCTGCGCAGGGGGCTGCTTCAGCGGATGGCGCAGCAGGGGTGGCCCCGTTATCGTCTGCAGCTCATTGACAGTTTCCTCACTGAACGCAGAGCTCA